TCTTTGGACACGTTCAGTGCTCCTGATAAGAAGCAGATAGCGCTGAAGATGAAGAAGTAAGCGTGAGGAGTAAAAGCAGAGATTTACTAGAAGATGCCTAACAGGTTTGTCCAATTAACGAGTTCAGTTCAGTAAAACAAAAGGTCAAATGCTTGGGAAAGGAACGGACGTGAAGTGTGTAGGTATTTAGAGTGTTCAGCTGAAATACGGAAGGTCAATAGAGACGAGGCGAGCGAAGGCAAAATATACGTCGAAGAGAAATTGTGAAGACTTTATCGGGAAAAGTAGCTACTTACAAGTTACGAACTTCATCCAGGTCAACGTCCACCACAACACGTTACACGAAAATAATTAGATCATGAACTTGATATCCATCATCCGCACTATAAATAGGCAAATGGTAAATAAATATCATGTATAACATTGTGTTTATGTAATCTGATCAGATTCTTGTGATTAATTATAGACTGGCTGGAGGTCCCAGAATGTAGCAGATCATCGAGTGGCGAACTACTCGAGTTTGCACTGTTCTTCGGATTTCTCGCCCATCTTCCCTCAGTCTTAATACGAGCTAACAAGCGGCTTAAAATAGCCACAAGACATTCTTTAATGAGACATGCGGCGACCCGCTAATGGACCTCATAGTCACTGGAGGATAACGACTTGTCAAGATATTCCTAATTTTCTCAAATGTCGTTTTTCTTTTGCTGTTTATTTGCTTGCTGGCTAAGAGCAACAGTTCACTCAGCCATCAAGAAGAATCTGGATTTGGACGCAAGATTTTCCCCAAAATCGCTGTGCTGAAAACCCAAACAGCCTTAACATATAAATCAATGGATGGCCATGGGCAGCGACTAAGTGGAATGTCTTGTATGGTATTTGTTTTACCAAGCTTTTTTCCTCTTCTTCTTCGGCGTGGTTTTAAACCCATCAGCGGCCCATGACCCGCGGCTAAACCATAAATTTTCGGAAGCGCATTAAATGCAATAAAGAAGAAGATCTTTGGATACCGAGACGAAAGTATTTCAAAGTCGCTTAAAAACTGCATTTTTCGAGCTTTTAGTCTGTCTCGTCTCTTCTCATCTATGTTTACGGTTGACGCTGTTTGCTCACTATTTTACCCAACAATTAGACCATAAATTCGTCAGCCTTATGTAGCATCACTTCCTTCTCATACAGTCCCGTTAAGCGTTATCTTATTTCGTTATATTGATACGAGAGAAAAATCTGTGGGTCGCATTTAGGACGGTTAATATGGTTGCTTTTACTATTAAGTGCAACCAGACTGGTATGGATGACGACGTAGGTGATGGGGTTTTGCTCTGCCCACGATCAAGCGGAAGGCCGATCAATGGGACGAACAGCTACCATCAGGTGTAATCGGAACGGATGTTAGAAAAAGTGTTGGAAAGGAATGTTGGTACGTTTCTGTACCAGCTGGGTTTTTGAAGTGATAACTTTTTATGGGAGGGCGAACCGATTTTTATACACTTATACACTTTGAATTCGACATGTTTCTCTTAGTGCGGGCGCATCTGTAGATCTGATAAACTTTTCAAATACACATTGCGTTATTAAACTGACAGTGATTTTGATTTATCAATTATTGAGTGTGATATTATTGTGTCTGGTGCAGTTTATTTTATAACGCTGATAACAATGAATCAACAAATTGTCAAGGGAGAAGCTGCAGATACGTACTATATGCATGTTCGAGTTTCGCCTTCTTTTAAAATTCCAATTAAAGTACACATAATTTACACACTAAAGCAGTTTAAGTGCAAAAAAATGCGGATTGTCCATCAATTTGCAGAAAAACGTATTACAAACTTTTGAAAATCATCATCAAACGACCGGGTATTTATCATTGCAAATGAGATTGCCCATTGCCGTGTACTGTTAAATAATGTTTTAAGAACTAACAATCGATGTTGTGCAACAAAATAATGCCTAAGATCCACTACAATAAAGTTTTTGAAAAACTGTTGGACCTATTTTAAATCGCCTGATTGAGTGTGGACGCAAATTCGTATCAAGTACAATACTAGTAAAAGCGGGGCATTTTCAGCAAATTTTCAAAAATCAGTCCTATTGTTATTATCTTCTTTTCCTTCCTGGGTTTCAGTCAAAGTGTGAAATAATTTTTTTCATATCGTTGATTTCATAACGTTTCGGCGAGACAACAGCGCCATCATCAGATTTAAAATTCATACAAACTCATAATTGGGAAATATTAGATTCTTTTAGGTCTCTGCTGACCTAAAAGAATCTAATATTTCCCAATTATGAGTTTGTATGAATTTTAAATCTGATGATGGCGCTGTTGTCTCGCCGAAACGTTATGAAATCAACGATTCCAAACCCTCCAATGGTGAGGATTGGAAAAGTTCGGCGAAAAATCAAAATTTCACTCACACCCATTCGTCAATAATTAATTTCGCCCACAAGGGACATTTTTCGCATAAAATCGCTACCTTTTCCCTTTCGAAAAAATCAACAACCTTTGTTGCCTAGAAACCGTCGCTGGTGACGTGCTTTTCCGGATATACGTAAACCTGATCGACCAATCGCTTGTCGACTCTTTGAATACAAGACGTGCACCATGGCTACGAGTAAACACAAACACATCAACTTTGAAATCAGTTGTCAGTAAAGCAGTGTTTATTGCAATCGAAGTTTTAAATTAACCGGTTTTTACACCTTCGTTTCGGAAAAAGTGTGCTATTTGTTGGAATTTCCTCTCGAAGGATTAAAAGACTCGAAAATGTGACTTTAAACTAGAAAATCAGCGATTGTAAAGGAGACAGAGAGATTGAGATGCGGTACATTGGAAAACAAGAGCATTCTACAGGGTGACCAAGGTAAGAGTGCCTTACATCTGAACCTTCTAGCATGTTTTTTAATCAGTTCCATGCATTCTTCGTGTCCGTGAGCTGAAAATATCGTAAAATTTTAACTTTTTCAAAAAATCGACTCCAAAAATTGCAACCCATTACTTTAATTCAGAGATTTTCTGGAAAGTTTAGAAAATCCATCGTCTCAAAGAGCGATGAACTCGAAAAAACTCCAAACTACCTTCATTCCTTGAATGTTAAAAAATTGAGTTTTCTTCGATGCTCCAAATCCACTTGGTCAACGGCCCAATTAGTACATGAAGTAATTAGGCCCTTACCACAGGCTTTCGATGCGGTTGGCCGCCCGGCTCTTCAGCTCGATTTTCATTTGTCCACTATTAGATTACCGCAGGAACCAATTCAATCGGGTTTGCAGTTTAATCGGTACCGACATGTGAAGGAATCGATATAATCGACATGTGTAATCTAATCGGCCGTGATGGGCGCTTTGGTTCCGATCGGGTTACCGTCAGTGTTCTGCGTCTGGTTTTTCATCATTTCGACGCAAAGCTGGAATTGGTTTGGTGATGGTTCTAGATGGAACCCTAGTTCGATCCGGGAGGCTTTTTCCGACACAGATAACAATAACCAGTAAATAACAGCGATTATCGACGCATTGTATGGTCGGGCCATTGGAAGGACGGCCGAAGACTGTTCCTCCATGACCAATTGACCAATATTGTGTTTGATTTATAGCCGGCGAGTCGATTGTTGTATCGATACGAAGGAATGGAAAACGGCCGTTATTCATGACGCTGCATGGAATCGTGCTGCCGTAACTAATTCGGTACTAACGTGTTCGACCACTGACGCTCAACATCGGTCATCCATGTCTTTGATGCCACACAACTGCAGCTTTTCTGGCTCCTGATCTACAGTTGTTGCTTCTTCCGCACCCCCTAAGACACTTTCTTCATCTGCCAGCCCCTCGATCGAGGCCAAATGGAGTAAAAGGAAGTGAATCTACTGCGGCATTCGATTTGCCTTGAAAAATCATTGTCGACCAGCCAACCCAATAAATCTCTTGGCCAGTGAAAAGCCCATCAAGATTTATGGTTGGTGCACTATTTAAATACCAAGCGTGCCCAGGCCGAGCTGCAAATCTGAATAAATTGATATTTCTACATATTGATTAATTTCCCGCTTATTTATCGCTTTTGTTGCTTTGCCAAGGACATCGACACCTGCTGATGCGAATTTGCAATGGTAATAAACAAAGCAGGCCGCAATATAAAAGTCACTTTATAAATGACTACACTTCTTTGAATAACTATTAAGATTATTTTATCTATACAGCGTCATTTGCATATTATTGGCTGTTCCCATCGACACCTGTTGATAGCATAGTATTGTTTAGCTCGCCTTGTACTACAATTGACTAGTCATCGGCATGTCCGAATTGTTTCAATGATTACAGGACAGACACAGACATGCTTGAGCTTGCAAACTTTTCAAGTGCTGCAAAGAATCTCAAGAGAATTGTGGCCAAGTTTGGATGCTTTTGGGAAACCAAAACTTGTTTGAACTTCTCCAGTTTGGTAAAATTGCAGTCCATGGTTTCCACTGCAGTCTATGAACGTTTCAAGTCGCTTTTTATTTAAATTTTGACGGTCCAATTTTTTTATTGCAGTTGCTACATACAGTTAATGTTMCTGTTGAATGAATCTACACTTTGGTCGATTTCAGTGAAACTTAGTCAAGTTGAAGCTTGTATCTGCAGTCGTTCAACACTTGAAAGTTTTTGTTGCAGATTTTCGTCTTTTTGTACTATACAATCCTCTCAATTGGTGATGGATGGTTGAGCTTTTTGACGAAACTTGAGGTCTGAACGTGAACATTTTCGTTTTTAGAGTCTAGCAA